AGTGAAAAACAATTAACTGTTTGCATTTTCTACAAAGCAGCAGATGACAACCCCCTGGAGAGAGCATCGAACCAATGGGGAGGGATGCTGGAGCAACACGGCACACGCAGCCAACTGGAGGCCCTGAAGTGATCTTCCAACACTTACTTTTAGTATGCTTGTTAACGAGGGACCTAGGCAAAAGATAGAAATTCGAAAACTGGGAAAAGTTCTTTACAATGAACCAAAAATGTTGTGCTGTTGCGGTACTTAACTTTTTTTTCTTTTCGAATATAATTCGAAACATGCTTGGAGATCCTCCGCAACTTTTTTCAGTAATTGCACCTTGAAGTATTCAAAAAATATTTGAGGAATATTAGAAAGTTATCTGATTCAGTTCGCACCCCATATTTTGCTATTCATACAGCTCTACTTGTTTCCTTTCACTTGTTACAAGTTCTTCCATGCATGCCCTGTCTCGTGTGAGAATGCAGCACATTCCACCCCCTCTCCTTAACCTTCTCAGTTTTATTAGCAAATAGCAAATCTCTCACACCCAGCAATGCCACACCATTTTTTTTTTCTTTTTTTGAAAGAGCGCAATATTTTCTTAGTGCTGCAATGCTACGGTTTTCAGAACACAGACATCATCAGTCTGCGCAACACTCATAACCCTGAACGAAATTAAATGTGAAAGTTGATATTTTAGTGGTAAACGCATACGATTCCTCCCCACCAGTACGTTGTGGCAAGGCTGAATACCAAATCGTGGGACAGGTAAAGCTTTGTTTGTTGTCGCGTCATCCGGGCCGCATGGACCGATGGAAGTAAAGAACAACAAAGAGTTTTGAAGGAAATAACAACACGACAAATAGGATAGACCTGAGCCCTAACTGAACGGAGCAATCTTCTCAGAGTTAGCCCTAACAGAAATACAGGTGGCAGCAGATGAAGTAATTGCACAGAACTCACTTGTCAAGGCCACCAGTGATTTTGCGGAGGTAAGAGTGGAAAGAAAGATGCTTGATGCTGTGTTCCCGCATGTAGTTCTCGTCATAAGGCTGAAATAAATTTACATGTTAATTAAACAAACAAGCTAAGGGCAGCACGAAGAAACAGAGACTGTTCACACACGCACGCAATAGAAGCGAAAAGCATAAGGACAATGACTGAATTCTCACCTCCAAGGGGGTGCAGTGGACGCATTTTGCATTGGCCCCATGATGGCATCTTTTCAAAAAAAGAAAAAGAAGCAAAGAGGTGAAAACTAGCAGCAGTGGTTGAGTGCACGATTGCAGCGCGAATGTTTTAGCTTCCCGATAGCGATAACGAAGTCGAGGTCATTTACAAACAATTCATGTTTGTAACAATCCATTTTCATGTAAGATGCAACTTTGTTATTATGAGGTATGAGTGTATGTACAGGCAAACGGTAATGAGTACCGATTAGTAACTAATTTCATTATCTGCTGAATTACTGACAAATAAATGCATTAGAATACCATATGCACAATAACTATACTAACAGCGCAACAGCCGAGCTTTCATACCAGGCTCCCGCTCATATTTCTTGTGATGGCATATACGTAGATGTCGTACCATTCCTTTACGAGATGTTTGCAGGATATGCACACACCTCATTCGTTGAATGAGTCACACAAAAAGACACTGATCTGCAAATGTTGGTTCGTGCACGCTACTCTACAGCATGCTGCAATATTGTGTCCTCGCCACAATGCACATGGACACATACTAGGACCAGCAGGCACTTGAAGCTTGTGAAACACTCACAGCTTGTCATCGCGTGGCCGGTCGATCAGGCCGGACTGTTTGGACAGAAAGACGTCCACCTCATTTTCAGCGACTGGAACAGGGGCGGCAGGAGCGGGACTGGCATGCCTTTCTAACGTGCCATTGCCGACGTTGGTAGCGTTGACCTGTGCGGTCTGGTTCGTGGGTACCAAGTACAGCATGTCCCCGTGTCTGGAACAAACCAAGAAGTAAAATAACGCAGCTGTGGAAATCTGCAGTTCACACGTGGGGTGAACACAAAATATATAGCAACACTAATACTGCCCCCAAACTGGCAAATGTTTTACAGAATCAACAAGCCACTATAGGTCCCTTGTGTAAATGAACGAATTTCTGGCACCAATGCCTGTCTTAAAAAATCTTAAACTGAAATCGGTTAGCGATTGACATTTCTGGTGCGCAAAACGGCACTCTGCCTGGTACAGAGCACGTGATTAATGGCACAGAAATGACTGACCAGGAAGCACGAGGAACACAGGAGTACAGTCAGCAAGGTTACAATGTAATACACCTGACGCGACTGTGAACAGAGTATGATGACACAGGAGTCACTGTACAAGAGGGTGTAGAAAAGGAGTGTTTTTTTAGCATTGCTCCGACGCATTCATGACAGCTGCTCAAAATCAAACAATGACTCGCTAGCCCACATGAACTCATACAGTGCGATATTTAACAGACGTCTGAAACGGGTAGCAGAATATCTGCCTAAACACATTTGTGCGTTAGAAATATGTGTACTCACGAAATGGTTTGCCCACGCACAAAACACACGTAAAAGGCTGTTACATTGGATACCGAGAAAAACAGTTGTAATACTTCGTAAAGGCTTCCGAAATACAACAATTTTGATAAAGAATTTACTCAAGAATACTTTGGTTTCGTTGACTTCACGTCACACACATAACGCAAGGTCAGCTCCACACCTTTACTTCGACTTGAACGAACAAAGAAACAATTAGAAAAAAACGTATCAACATACTTGAACCCATACGTGGACAGCCGGGTATTTTGCAAGGGGACAGGGCTCGATTTTTCTCTGTTTTTGTAGACGGTAAAACACAACAGATCGGGCAAGTTGAAGGCACTCTGTATCTGTGATAAACAAAAAAAGACAAAAGCGATCATCTTTTTTTGTTCTTCCGCATTTGAGCCGTGCCACATGCATTGCATGCGACGTTCAAAAAAAAAAAAAAGAACTCTGGCCTTGCTAGACGGCACAGTCAACGGTTAAATGTTGTTACAGCGTGTACTTAATTGATTACCTTGTTGTAAAGAACAGCCGCCGTATCGCCAGCTTCGCATTCGACCCTCTTCGTACCCTCGGGAGATTGAACGCGTAATATCTGCGAATGAGGAACAACCACTTTGAAACGAAAGACACCCGCTTAGAAAGGTGACAGGCGAGACGCCGAAACGAGTACACCAGTATTTACGACAGTCCAATGAATCAGCCGACGCGACTACAAGGTTCGGACTTGAGTACGTCCTTCGCGTCGACGGGTTTATCCCAGCACACTGACCATGTTTGGTAGACTGGTATCAGGCACCAGTACTGCGGCTGCAAAACACGGCGGTCGACCCCTCGAACAAATGATGATGAGTCAGACGCGGCGCACCGATGCGAACACGATGAATTTCATCTTTTACCTCCAGTTGCCATTGCGGCCATGTTAGATGCCCTCGGACGCAGATGCTGTCAGGTGTTTGGCGAGCGGTGCTGCCACCTAGGTGAGAAAGAAACCGAAACTAATACGCCTCACTAACGGCCGATAACAATCTCATTTTTTTTTAGTAAAACGAAAATTACGCACATTGGTCTTCGGTTGATTCCATTACAAAAAGGCGTGAAAATGACAATTCAACTCATTGCAGGGTTAGCGTAGTGGTACACGAGACCTTGGCTAATTCTCCAAATCGTGTCAGTGTTTTCTCACAACCAGATACCTGCGAAATAAACCGATACTTGATTCAAGTATGTATTCTAACCTGGCTGTCCTATCTGTCTTCTTTCTGAAACGTTCTCTGCGCACTAAGGGAGTATCAGTCTTTCGAAAATGCAATACTGATTCAGAAACTCGTTTGAGTTTCATCATGAGCACGAATAAGGTCAAGAGAAACCGAATTCTCTAAATCCCCTAGATACCCTTATGTCAGGCAGCCTGACAATAGAAAAAACAACCTGATTGGGCACTAGCATTTTACCATTGTCTTGTCGCCATTCTTTAATCATAGATAGATGCTAGATTGTGCTGACCGCACCAAGATAGATCCCAAATTAATACTCAAGCTGGTAAAACTATAGAATGTTAATTATACTTCACCAAGGAAATGGTCGTTACATGACATCTAATTATGGTAAAAACATGTTTTTAGAGGTATACAGGACATAAGCTTATCCAGCGTCCTGCTTGACGTGTTCACCTTAAACGAGGACCAAACTGCACACGTGGAAACACTAGCAGTCTAAATTGTAGCCGCAACTAACCATCATTAACAGCAATCCACCATCACTCCCTGAGACACATTAGCCACAACTTAACATTGTAGATCACCATTTACCATTACCAACATTAACCTGTTGCAGCAACCTAGATCGCAGACCTTTACGTTCAAACGGTTTAGTAACGGTGATTACCAGAGAGTAACATATTTACCAGGACACATTCGCCTACAAGTCACCCCTTTGGTATGGTCCCATACAGCCCAGCACTCTTGTAGACAGTTTCCTGCAGCAACTGCACTGCCCGACTTTTGTTTGTTTAGGCAATAATTGCGGCCTTCTTAAATCCAGTTTCATGGTATCTCAAGCTGTTGTATACACATCTGCACGGTTTTTCTTAGACGCCTAGCAAAGGAACAGTTAATAACAAACTGGCAAACCTTTCCAGTATTCCAATGACCTTTGCATGATGACATTTTGCAGATCAACTTTAATGACATTTTTGCCAACACTAGCACGATTCTTGGCAGCTTGCCACATCACTTGGCACACTGCCACATCCTGACGATCCCATTGATAATTTTTTGTGGACAATTTTTTACAGCTATTTAGGAAATAGTCTAAATTTGCACTAGGGACTTTCTTGGTGTGTCTTGAATCTTGCCGCTCTTTTTAGGCGATTGCCGGGTGGCTCGTGTTTCAATAACGCACAGCTCACTGCACTGCTCCAATACGACAAACAATACAAAAACAAAAGAAAAAGCAAGAGTTAAAAATTTTCGACTGTTTTATTGTTTTTTTTCGTCTGCCAACACTGACCGAAGATGTACTTACAGGCTTAACAAGATACAAAAAGACGTTTTGGCCCACCGTATGTACAGCTTCAGAATCGAGCAAAAGCAGCGCTGAGGAGTGTAAATCTCAAAAAACTCTGCATTTGCACAGACATAAAACACACATTACACTTGAACCTAACCACAGGTATGACGTCCTGGTGCCGATTCACTTTCTTTTTCTTTTTGACTCCTCTTAATGGTTTCACACTCATTTTGCACACAAAGGCTAAAAGGTGCTACGACCACAGCGTCTCAAACGTTGGATCCAAGTCATCTCTGGCTTTCACACGCACGCACACACGCATGTGTACACCACACACTCACTTCATATAGAATGAGGAAAAAAAACAAAAAAAGGTCCAGCAAAACTTGATCCCTGTCAGCTGGAGCAAGAACAACACAAGAATACTCGAAATAACAAAGATGCTTCGTCCTTTTGCCGTCCTTTAGAACGCTCGTCCTCTGCGACTGGGGTCCAGCAGATGACGCCTCTTTAGGCTGCAGAAGTTAGTAAGTTCCTAACAATCGCTTGCGAAAGGACTACTGAAATCTCCGACGGAGTTGGTGACTCAATCACCGAATAGTGCTGAGGGCCCCCACTGCCACTTGCGCACGCTCTTCTGCACAGAACTGGAGATGACGAAAACAACGGTGCACAAGCTGTCGGTGGAGTCATGCACAGTGCCCTGGTGTGTCCGAATCGAGCCGGTACTATGGTGCCGCCGGTGACCATTGCCGCATCTTCTTTCACTTCAGTTTCTCTTCACTTGTCGCTAGATGAATCTGTGTCATTGGGGTTGAGGACAAAAAGAAAGTCAGGAGAACAGTCCGTGACAGTTCGTACTTGGTCAATAAAACTGACCGATGGCACAAAGCCCAACAAGGAGGTATACCGTGAGTGTCAAAAGTTTAAGGAGAATACAGGAGTAGATAGAAGGCCAAATATTCCCATCAAAGGGAGACTTGAATTTATATTTCTGGCTTGTTCCAAAATGTTCTAACAACTTATACTGCACAGTTAGCCTGAAAGCAATGACAAATTACCTGAAAATTCAATCTTCTCAGACATGGTGGTACTTTCTTGATGCCAACTGTACGTACCGTTCTCACACTCAGCGCATAAGTTTATGGGACAGGAGATTTGTAAAGAAAAGAAAGCAGAGTTACCGATGGGCCTGGAAGCGTACTACCCAATCAAAAGTAGAAGACTACTAGTTCTTTGGGCCTACCCTATTGCCCATTAAACTAGAAGCGCCAAGATTTGTCGAAGCAAGAATTCGCGTGTCCAGAGCCCATGCAACATAAAATCCTGTGATCATGTGTTCACGGATACGAAGAAGAAAGAATGCGTTCAGGTCATATGGCATTGACAAAAATTAAGAATCCCAACAGTGTTATAGTCGACTCAAAAACAAATCATTGTTTTGAGCAATGAGCAAGGTTACTGCAAACAACCCAAAGTAATAAGTGTGCTAACTCAGGGTTCAAATTATGAATGGTCTCAAATTTTTGCTGTATTAAGGAATTGGCATGTTTGTTTGCTCAGACTCTCTTTCCCTTGCACTGCTGCAACAATTTTTTGGACGGCTCAAAAGACTAACCATCAACTAAACAATGTGGTAGAATAAGAAAACGTTGAAGGTAATTGATTGATTGATATGTGGGGTTTAACGTCCCAAAACAACCATATGATTATGAGATACGCTGTAGTGGAGGACTCCAGAAATTTTGGCCACCTGGGGTTCTTGAACGTGCACACAAATCTGAGCACACGGGCCTACAGCATTTCCGCCTCCATGAGAAATGCAGCCGCCACAGCCAGGATTCGATCCTGCGACCTGCGGGTCAGCAGCAGAGTACCTTAGCCAATAGACCACCGCGGCGGGGCAACGTTCAAGGTAGCATCCCCTGTTGGATAGGCTTGAGATGGATTGAAATATAGTCGCCAGATGACTCAGCGAAAAGTTGCCAAGCCTGTAGCATCCTCCACAATGTTTGCAGGCTTGCCCCGGTGCAACTGCTCATTCTAGTTACGCAGTGTCAAGCTGAACAAATTACACCGGTACATTGCAAATCAATTCTACGCAAAGGTGGACTGACTGAGGAATACAACTTACACACAACGAAGTGTGGCCACACACTGGAAAGAACCAACTTGACAGTGACACCACCGTTTCTTAGCATGTCCAGAAGTGCCCTTGATTTCACGCTGTCATCAAACGACTCGCGACCGCCGCTTGGAAGCCCTTGCGGTTCAAAGCATGGAGTTCCTTGTGTCTCCAGATTAGTTGCACCACTCACCTTTGCCAAATCTCTATGAATCTTGCTACTTTAGTGGATGGTAATGATAAAATGTGCTCTGGTACTCACTGAAGCTTGACATATATGTTGTTGGCACCATGTGTGCAAAGGACGCTCGTAATGTTCGCATCATCAGTGATATTTACGAAAGGCGTACATGACGAGCATCCAAATCCACAAGTATCTACTTGTTTTGGCTAAACATAATAGTTTGATGCTTTGTATTGCCACATGACAACCACTACAGCTGCAATGACAGCGCCATCGGGGAAAGTTTAGGCAATCACACATGCAACTGAGCAATTGCGCAGCCCTAGACCAAAAAATTTTGCCTCACCCGCTACCTCAACCAGACCTTGCACCAAATGAACTCTTCTTATTCCCCCAACATGAAGAGCACACCGCGTGGGAACATTCCTGGGACTAAGTCGTCACTAAAGTTGAGCTCTTTCTGAACTATCAAGAAGATGAGTTCTAGTGCAATGGCCTACGTGCATTGTTGGCAGAAGCTGATTACTTTCGGAGACGATCAGGTAGTGAAACAATAAGTGTGGCCTCAAACTTTGTTTCTTGGCCTTTCAGTCTTCATGCCAATAATTTGAGCTTTATGAATGCCCCTTGCAATGATGAACTTTCCGCTGGGATGTCTCATCAGTAATAACAATATTAGTGAATTCACGTTCCAAAGCTAGCGTTAAATTATAAAGGGTGTCCTGGTGCAATGCTCCGAAACTTTGGACCATCCGACTTTAACGTGCAGCAACATCGCACAGTCCGCAGGCACCTGGCTGTTCCCTTCTATCGAAATGTGGCCGGCACGGCCGAGGTCGAACTCGTGACCTCTAGGTTAGCAGGCCTGAGCACCATAACCTTTACTTCACCGCGGTGGGCAATGTCTTGTCAGTATTCAGAATGATAAACTTTAGATATGCTACTTTGCGAATGAATAAACACAACTGATATGGTACGCTTGGAATATACCCTTCCACGAGAATGTTCCGCACTATTGTTACTATGACAGTGATAACACGTCAGAGAGATCAACTGTGCAAGTAAACATGACAATGTAATATGGTCCACGCTGCCATGTCTTGTGCGATTTGCATTTAAATGCATAGTTGACAGGATTAGGGGAGACATACTAGCTAGCAGATGTTCTAGCGAGATGCTACAAGAATTAGTGACCACATGAGTAAGCGAATGCACTGGCATTTAAGAGAAGCCTTAGCTAAGAGCATTTTTTAAAAATTAGTACACATGCTCTTATTAAGCAATTTTTCATGTGCAACAAACGATGAATGGCATAAATGCACTACGCTGCTTATTGTCAGCTCTAAACATTATGAAACTGCACGTGCACAGCGCTGGACTGACCCAGGTTCTGCAAGCTCTCGCGAACAATGACGCTTGGCAGGTTTAGTGCAGTTGTGCTGACGGCGTAATAAATTGTTTGCAGTTTGTGTGCTTAAAACCAGAAGCAGAAAATGCCAGTAGAATTCGCAGACATGACTGCCACAATAGCAAAAATTGAATTGTCGTGCGTTAGCAGTTTTAAGATTACCAGAAGAGCTTATATGGAGCAAGTGAAACATGAATTTAGATATCCTCTATTGCACTGAATGTGCTTTTTCTCAGCAGGCTTTTCGTGGGGCCACGATGTACAATTTAACACGCAACACATGATTCGAGGACGAAATGTGGTACTGTTTGCCCTCCGTCAATGATCCTCCATCATTCAGCTGGTAACGTATTATACCTAAAGCTGATATGAAGAGAAGCCTTTTGAGTGGAGTAGATCCGCTGTGATAAGCTACTTTTCCAAGAGCAATTATATGAATTTCAACACATTTAAACATTCTAATACTGCGCGAAAAGACCAAGTCAAAAACACAGAACAACACCAGCGCAGAGTGCTAACCACCCCAGAGAGGATGGGCAGTCAGTATTCCTACTGTTCCAAGTGTTTATTATTTGTGTCTTGGGTCTTTTCACGCAGTTTAAGAACGTTCAACCGTGATGAGCCAGCTGGCCTGCCAGAATGTATTACATTTAGCACTTGTCAGTAGTTATGGGAAACAAGTAATCAATATGATAGACTCAATACGTCGCCATGGCCAGCAAACAGCGAATACATAGCCGTGAAAGATTAGGGTCATAGCAATATGTGAGGCCAAGTAATGCGCACAAAATTTGCGTAGGCTCGCATGTCAAAATCACTGGCTGACTAGAGTTTACCCGAAGGTTGGAACAAATGAAGTGAAAATTATTTACATTTGCAGTGAAACATTGTTTATGAGTTATCTCATCACCAGGATGACACACTTTCGTGCCAGTCACACGTTTACGCATTTAGTAAAGGAAAATCAGTCGTACATATTTGGTTTCATTATCGGAGCATCAGGCGAAATTGACAAACATGAGCGCCACTGGAGCTGCATTCTGGAGTAAGCACTTTTCAGCAGCACATTCTTTGCTGCTCTGAAAATCTAGCACAATCCAGTGCAATGTGAAGCGTATTCATCTCAGCATGCTTTCTTGTACCCATTCAACCGGTTCTGCACAGTATATCATGTCCAACGTGATGCCAAAGGGCACTTTCAGAGCAACTCCCAAGTTTCTGTTGTGGAGCGTCTTAATTTACAATAGTGCATGTTGCCATATTCCTGAACAGGGGCCCGCGGATACGACTCGTCCTTGAAATTGTTTACTCCAGAGTACAGCTCTTAAATGCACCGGTATGCATGTACAAAGCTGGAAGCGACACAGCAGACACAAAAGACGCTAGTGCAGGCGTGCTGCAGTTAACAAGCTGCAATAGACAGGAAGCTCAATGCCACAGGCAGGAATGAAAGCATCACATGCAGGTTGCCCTACGCTGGGCAGGTTTTGCATGCATGCAAGGGGTTTGCATATGCATGAAATGACAACAGGCTTGGGAAAGTTAACCAGGTATAGCTGTTATAAGCAAGTGTCATGAATGGAAGTTTTGTGATCTCCATGGGCTAGTACCAGCTGAGTGACCATATGTTTTCTTTGAATTCCCTGCAAAGACATTATTTCAAATCTTTTTCCACTTACCAGACAGGGCATATAGTATGCCACGCAAGATTTGAATTGTATGTAGAGTAGTACCCAGAAACCAAATGAAGTAAATTCCTTGTTTTACGCCTAGTCTGCACTAATGTTCACAGCAGCGGGATTACAAACGTACCCCACACTACCACTCGTCAAACAATAAGTCCCCATTTTTAAGCACAAGCTTGCATGGAGTGTAGAGATAAAAGATGGCTTTCCTGGCTGCATTATGTCTGCAGTAGGCAATGTTGCATATAAAAAACATTCGCAGCAGTCACACAACCTTTTCAACAAACACCCTTGGTGCTTATATCCATCTACATTTCATTATCGCGTGCTTGCATAACCTTCTACTGCATACATTGCATTCGTAATGACATTGTGTATATAAGGATGCCATGCTTCACATAGAATGCGTGAGCAGAGCTTCTGGTCACGAACTCTTGTGGCACTACAAAAGCAATGTACGCTAAACAAAAAGCTTGTTAAAGGGATACTGAACAGTACTTTTGCCGTTGACATTTTCAGCCAAGCTGAAAGATTGGGTGAAGTCAACACAACCACTTTACACAGAAACTAGTGCAAATAATGAATTTAACAAGTTTTTCACATATGTGATCTTAATTGGTGTGAGAGCTATATGATAGCCAAAGGCTGAAAGTACATAATAATTAGTGTGAACAATGATTACATTGTCAAGAGGCTGTAAAGAGGCACGAGTCGTTCACAGACAGGCACGTCTGGTAGCTGTGCAATGAAATAGAGGAGGAGACGTTTGGCCATGTTTGAAGTACCCGAAACAGACATGTCGACAATGCCAGCTGTACACCGCAGCTTAGAAGCAGGGGCTCAGCCCGCACTACGGTTCCTAGAACCAGTACTACCGATGCCAGCAGCGAACAAGGCTCCCGTGTGGGCTAAAGCCCCTAAGGAGGCGAGGTGCGGGGAAGAGAGGGTCGGGGGGAGAGTGGATTGTAGAGAAAAAGTGAATAAAGGGAAATGGTAGTACAGGAACACATGCACGCTAATTATCCTCTAAAACTACAGCAAACCTAAACATATGAAGTAAGTTGTTTATCGGTCGTAAAGTTTTCAGAATAGAATATTGATGTTGTAATCCTTTTTTTTTATTTTAATTGTTGTTCAGTATCCCTTTAATATCTCAAAATTAGAGTTTTTTATAAAACCTCACCAATAGATGCCTGCTAAAGATGCTAAGGCTACATTTAGAATCGTCGTACTGTACAGTTTTGCCAGGGCAGAGTACAAGTCCAAATTTAACTAGCAAGTTGATGTGCCTGCACTCTGTTGCAAGTCAAGAGCAGTGTGGCTTTGTGCTGTCAAAGCACCCGCTTCGATCCAACAATCTCGTCGTGTCATCATAGCTGACCACTTTTCACTTACATGCAGGGCTAGAACTAAAGCTTCTACGAGTGTGTCTGTGCCGTAAGGTCTTGAAGCCTTATTATAGAGGGAAGACAAACTTTTCGTAAACTTATTTTCCTGTTAAAATGAAATGCATGAAAGGTTATTTGTTAGCCGGTGTATTGAATTGCTGTTTGCTCTTCCAGGCTTTCCCTCAACTCACTTGATTATGGTTTCGCACACTGCCAGATCTCTTTTCAGTCATGGAGCCAGAAAGGGTGACATTGCAATGTGCTTTATCCCTCTCAAATGAGGACTGTGCTTGTTTACCATGCTTGCCACAGAGCTTCCAATAAGTACACTAGGGAGAACTCTGGTGCTAGTTTTTGTGGGATCTGCAACGCGTGGCGCTTTAGCGGGCACGGGAATGATGGGTAGTACACAGGTCTGTGTAAACTTTGTACTTTCGACTCAGGTTGGCTTCTTATAGCTTGAAGTTGCTTTATCATGAAATTACAATTGGCAAATATTCAGCAGTTACACTTCACTACTTTAAACTTTCAAGCTTACCATTTCAAATTGTCTCGCAAAGTTTACAATAATACATTCTTTCCTTCAAAACAACCAAAACAGCAATAAATGAAGCCATAAGTGTGTTTGAGGCTCACATGCACGAAGACTAGGCAAATCCGTGTACTACCCATCATTCCCATGGTTGCTGAACAATTGTGGCACCCGAGTCTCCTTTAGTTAATTTTAGGAAACTACGATCCATGCCACATTGATGGTGATGGCCACTCTGTATCGCACGAAGTATTGAAGTGCCGTTCAGTGATGGCGCAAATATTCCAATATGTTCATTGTTGGCCATTTCTAGGCAGCCGCCGAGCGCTTACGCAGCAGACTAAACACCGTGGCGATCGTTGTTGCAAACACTGCACGCAACACACGACTAAGGCTTTTCGTGCATTTCAAATTGGGGTACTAAAGAATGGCCCTAAGGTCTGCTTATGAAAGCGCAATCTCAATGACAACGCCAATGGATTGTAGAACAGCAGAGGTGGCTATTTCAACTGAGGTTTGTAAATGCGGAAGAACACACTTGGCAAATCTTGTCAAGACCGTGATGTGAGGATGGTTGGTTGCAATGTCACGATGACACAGCGATGCCGTTCGCTGGAGGGGTGTCTGTTCATGCCAAAAAGCTACACTACTCTCGACTTGTACTGAGCAAAGCAGATAATGACACGCGCATTTACAGTGATATTGCTGCAATTATTTCACAATGTGGCCTTACAAGCAGTCAGTTTTTTCGCTGGCTTGCAATATTAGCTCCGAGCACACCCATCTGCTCTGCGTGCCCTTGAACCCACGTGATTTGAGTTTTATAGTTACCGCGACAGTTTCTCAACTGCAGATTACAGCAAGGCTACCTTCAAGTTGGCCTTGTTACTAAAAACTGAACTCTTAGCCAGCGTAGAACGCACCTTGGCGCAAGGGTAGCAGCAGAGGGCACCTCAATTGCACTTCTGTGACACTGGCGGAAACTCGGAGTCATCGGTGAGGCGCAACGCGGCGTTGGTCGGAGGCGACAAAGAGACCATTCCAGCAGCATCTGTGCTCAGTGTTTAGAAAAGAAAGAACGTCACAGGCACCGCGGGGAGTCTCGCAACTGCCGAGCGGCAGTTGCACATTAGCTACATGCTTGCAAAGCGCCGAGCAACTGTCCAGACCGAAGTAAATATGTGCAGTGGGGTTTATGGGTACACTACTCATCCATACTAGTTTAAAGCACCCGAGCTGAAGTGCTCCGCTAAATGTTTTAAAAAATTTAATATAATTTGTAACACATACTCGACCTCATGTATAATTAGCATGTCCCACTTTGAGAATCTTAGCCCAATAAATGAGCTAAAATGAACCTCCTTTTAACTCATCACACCCACTGTGTGAATGAGGGACCCACACAACCCTTTAACAGTCGCAATCTTTCCGCTAAACAAAAATGTGAAACCTGCACGTTATATATTGAATAAAAAAAAACGCTGAATGCAAAGGGAAAAAAAAATTGAGAATGCAGGAACCGCACATGCTTAAAGGTGACCATACAAATAACCTCTATAATAACTGTCTTTTCAACAAAGGTGGAGAACGTTCATGCCCAAATGATGAACAAAGAAACAACTTCCTTTAAACACCCATATTTTTTTTTTAAAACAAAACAAAACAAAGAAGCACAAAATCGGTACTTTATGTAATGAACAGAAAAAGCACTAATCCTGAAACCTATTAGATACGAGGACAAGTTGCTCGGTGCCTTGCATGCTTCAACGCGTTTTCCTTTTTTATTTTTCTTTAAAATTTCACAAATTCTTGGCGCTGCTGTGTTAGGCGCTGCCGCATCCGCCGCTGCCGCAAAGACGCTGCCAGAGAAGAAGGGGTCCCCCATCTGGTGTCGCCCCCTGGGGAAGGCAGAAGGTTCCACGGAGGAGTTGAGGCCTCGGAATCTCTGCCGTAACCCTGGGGCCAAGCTTGCTGTGCTGCTGCTAGCGAGGGCAGGGCAACTTTTCCCGGCAGGGAAGAAAGGGACGGGATGGCAGAGAAGGTTTCGGGGCAGGGAGAGGCGGCTCAAGGGGCAAGCAGAGGACCGGCCAACAAAACGGTGCGAGCAAGCATGTTGTGCGCACGAAAAAAAATTGCGAAAAGAAAAGCGGCGAACCTTTAGAGCATGACGGCGCCATAAACGTTGCCAACTAATGCAGCCGACGAGCGATAAAGCAGTATCTGTACAAGTGATGTCCTGAGCCTCAAACTGGCATTTCAAGCGCTAAAACGTTTGCTGCGGCCACCGACATAACTTGTTCAATCGGTATTCATCATTCCACCTTTGTGTTTAAATAGAAATACAGAGAAGTAAGAATTTTGGCTCTACTCTCCTACAACAAGCTAAGGAAACGTAAAGCAAATATGCAGTCTCCTACAACTAAATTTTTACTGCTTTTTCTAGAAGTTGAGAAGAACCAAGGCTCCTTGAAAGGAGACTCTTGAAGTGCGAAGCTGCTGTTTTCGTTGAATTCGTATGGCTTTGGCTTAGAAGCAAGCGACGACTGCACTAAGCCAGAAGGGCACAAGGTAACGCTTTCAATGCGCTGAAATTTACAAGTTCAATGCAGTGCTGTACTAAACTAAACTAAATGGCATAAAAAAATTTGTGACAAGCTTAAGATATTTCACTGGTACAACAAAACACTGCCCTTTGGCATTACATGAAACACTGCTAGCATGAAATTTCAGAATGCACTTAGACTAGGCAACACACATTCCTTTCCAAGCATATAACCTACATAAAAATGCAGCTATGCCTGTAAAAAAAGCACTCAAAGTGCCTAAGAACTTAATCTGTTCATAGAACTGTCCACTAGTTCCAAAATTTTATGCAGAGTAGCATATTGTGCTACCCTGTATAAAATAAGATAACTTAAATACTATCAATAAATAGTTCTTCAGAAATTTTATGGAGTAGCATTACCTTGTTGATAGGTAGTCTAGCTTTCCCACACTCACCTCACATATTCGTAGGCTCTCTTCATTGTGGAGGCTTAAGAAAACATTTTAGATAGTTTCATGGACACCATCTTTTCAACGTGCCATCCAGACCATCTATATGTAACCATAAACTGATGTCTCACAAATGATGACTGTATAAAATCCCATCACAACCGTCCAGGTGCACCCTTCAGAGCAAATCTTTACCAGATTCACCAGTACCTAAGTCACCATAATTATGAATCGTGCAAGCGAATGCAATACATATCTTGGTCGCACACAATGTGCAGTGCAGTACAGTGCAGTCCCGAAAAAGGAGTAATCTGCTCACACTCTAGAAGAGGTTTATCTGGGGTATCTTTCTGTCACACAACAGCAATCGTCGTCTAATGTTATGTGCCTTTGCTTGCTCCAATGCTGAGCACTGGGTACTTGACGGTCACAACCGGCCTGACGTAGCATTTTTGAAGGAAAAACTGGCAGGCACAGTATTCATAAAAAGTTATGCGAGCATCCCAAATGATGTGGGAGGCAAAAAACTCGCTCAATGGTGTTAACTGAGTGCACAAACTACACCTATCGATAAACTCACGAAAAAAGTGTAAAATGGATGCATAAATTACCCCTATAAATAAACTCTCTAATGTGTTTGAAGTGACTATAGGGGTTGCTCCCCCTAATAAACCCCCCAAACAGAGCAGACTGAAAGGGTTGAGAACAGATCCCACAGTTTACTCCCCAGCAATGCAAACAGTGCATGTGCATTTCCATACAAATGCTCTGTGCACTTATGAGGAAAGAAGTGCTTTGCGCCGCCGTGCTCATATCCTTGGCTAAGGTTCATAAACGCCCACCATGCCACAGTGACGATGTTGCATTCTATTACACTTGTTTTACACAGTGCTCTTCGAGAGACCCTTAAGTATATTGCTTCTATGCAGAGAAGTGACAATGCAAAAATCGAGTGGTACTTTGACAAACGAACCTTCCCGGGTGGTCTACGATCTACCAGCGTAGGTATACTGTACAGCAAAACCATTTCCTTACACAATTTGGCCCCTATGTGGAAACACTGCAGGCAAAACTGACAAAAAAAAAGAAGTGCTAATTTTTTTTTCTTAAAACGTGCAAAGGAATCCCGACAAGGCAAGAGGTCGGAGCGTGCAAAATGGGAGCCACGATTCTAAAATTTCGACCCGTAGTCTTGATCGGTAGCTTCACGCTAAATGGCTAATAAATATTGCATGCAATAGTGGTAGATTTACAAAATGTGCTGCTTGACTAGACATCCCCCCCCCCCTTCCCCCCTGAGTCTAACTTGAGCAATCTTAGAATCTGCAACAATCTGAGGGACATCTAAATGAAAATGAAAGGAACTAATTTTTGCTAACTTTTCAGTTTCGCAAAGAGCTACAGTTGGCAACATCACCAAAAGTACTCTGTTGCCTACGTTGCACAAAAAACTTGGCTGGCTGAACATATAACTGCCCTCGAAACTTTTCTGGCTGGTATATGAGGCATGACCTACAAGGAGTCACAAAAGTTTCATACTAATTCATTCAATATTACTTGTACACATTAAGTTAACTTCAAACTTGTGCTTTAGTGCAACTTTATACTTGATTACAGATGCACCTGACATTGATATCTGTACCAAGTACTAGACAACGCACAATTCCAAACCTAATGCACAGCGAAGTCGGAAGAGTACACGAAGGGAATCTTTACAACTAACAAAGGTTGAATAAAGAAAACTAGGCAATGAGAAAGGGAGATCATGAACAGAAATGTCTATGAAAATGAAAAGCAATGCTGGCAAAGCAATGATGCACGGAAAAAAAAGGAAAGGTGTCCACGAAGCAGTGCAGCGGGGAATGTGTGCAGCACCAAGCAAGCCAAGCCAAACCAAGCAAATGCCGACGGTCTCGCAGACAAAGCCAAAGCCAAGACACGGCAATCCAGAAAAAGAGAGGTAGGGTACAGAGCACAGCAGAAGTAAAAAGGAGGGGAAAGCCTACAGACCTGCCGGAGTTTGGTCCTGATAACCTCGCACTACAGCAGCGTAGCTCGACAATCCTGCGCGCCAGAGATACACACACACATGGAGCCCGGCCACTGAAGGCACGCTTGTCCTCGAAGGGAGGACAAACAGTAGCATACGACACGCAGCACTTGGCCTTGGCCGCGCACCAGACATCTCCAACACGCCCCTTCTACTCCCAACACTCCCCCCAAACCTCTCTTCTTTCACTCCATGTGTGTGCCCATTAAGTCATCCCTTTATCACAGAACATACATCAAAGGCAGCAAAAAGAACAGAATAGGCTCAGCTGAAGCGACGTTCTCTCGTACTAGTGCCCCCAAGTTTTCAAACGTTTCTCGTCTTGTCAGCATGTCGCAATGAACAGAGAAACATCTGAAAAAGGGTAGCCTTAGTGCATTAAGAATAATTAGTATTTCATATACATTTCGGCAAAGGTTTTGAAATCTTATGGCTTCTCTTGATCGCTCCACTGATAGACAAAGGTACTTTTCATAGATGTGTGAAGAAAACTAGGCACGGGGAAGAAGACACAGGACAGCACTCATCCTGTGTCCGGTTTTAGTGTGCACTGCACATCCCTACGAACCTACACCAAGTACACAACATTAATTCAGTTCATCTCAAGGTGCTTTCATTTTATCGTTAAGAGCACTGGTAGTGCCTTCACGTAAACCGAGATAACAGCCGTCGAACTGTGCAGTAAACGACAAACATCACTGCCAAGTCACATGCCAGCTTGGTGCACTGTGGGCACTCCGAAATGAATCAGCCCTTTCGTCGCATATTCCCTTTATCTTTGTCCAGATTTGTGCTGTTCACAGCAGACAATTCACGTTTCAGGTAAGCACCACCTAGAAGTCTCACACCTGTCAATTTGAATTAATTCGTTTTCTTTGCTTGCGATTAAATTAAATGTATAGACTAACGGACATTATATTCATTCATATGTGGCGTTTAACGTCCCAAAACCACCATATGATTATGAGAGACGCCGTAGTGGAGGGCTCCGGAAATTTAGACCACCTGGGGTTCTTTAACGTGCACCCAAATCTGAGCACACGGGACTAACGGACATTAGGGCACGCCATTTAAATCTTATCAAATGCTGGAAATCGTGCAATGCCCAAGCAACACGAGATGTTATCACCAGCTGGCTGACGTGCAGTTGGCACAAGTAGTAAAAAGATAACTAAAATTTAGCAGCATGGTGAGTAAAAAACATCTCTTCCATGCAGTATGATCAAATAAAAAAAAAATTCAAATCTTTGCAGTAAGCACCTTCGTAATGGTAGCAAAAGGTTGCCCACAAATTGTGCTCTATCGACAAGATTCAACTCATTTACGAGATGGCAAGAAAAGTAAGCTAATATGCAAGCCTGATGCGTTGCAGGATCCATACGTCAAGCATTTCAACACAAGTTCTGATGCAGTACTCTCAACAATACTAGAAAACAAGCTTGTACAGCCATGTTAATTGAGATTCCCTTATTATTGAACATGTTCGTGTTGCAACTGTCTGTTCAACATGGACATGCAATGTAAACCGAACAGGCAATGTAAACCAACCGTTGAAAAATAAAAAACAAAAAACCCACCACCGAGCCACAGAGGATTATAGCACTCACAAACACAATCACACACAGAGCTCACGCCCAACGTCAGGACACTCGAAAGTTCCCTCCACCGAGCATAAGTGAGAACCAAAATCTTAAAAGCCCAAAGACAGGGTGCACAGAAAATACATAAACTGAACCTTTACAAGCCAACCTTAAAATTAAATCTGCACGTCAACTGTAAACTAACAGACTGACCAAGAGTTGTGCTCGCACTATCTAGCTTTTTCTAAGATGTATACAAAAACACTAAAGACAATTTGAGAATACAACAGTGTGTGTGAAATTCAACCAAATACTTAATGCTAAAATGTCTGATCTTAGTGAATAGTACTCATTCCTCTTTGAACTGAAGCCTCCTGCCACTCTTATTCAAGCGAATGTAAAGTCTTTCAGATATTCAACTGCTTCAAAGGATTGGTTATCACTTTTAGAAACAAGATGTTTGTGTACATGAAGTGCGATCATGCGTTGAAACACGAAATATTTCATCGGAGCTTACAGAGTTTCACGATTGCACACTGCTGTCTCACTACACTGGTGATTTTTACAGCAGGGCCGACTTGCCTTCTGTATTTTGTATCAGTACCCCTTCAACTCAAAATGATACATTTGCCAGTTGAGATTTTACCCTGCGAGTCCAGCTTGCGTGCTGCTGGAGTTGGTTGAGATGCCGCTCCCTGCGCCGTGGTTTGGTCCGAACCTGCATCGCCAGACTGCGATGGTGTGGTTGTCGTGTTGGGTTGACCGTCCAGCCTACAAAGCAGGCGTGCACTCAGTTATGGCAGCCTGCTACTTCGGCTAAGAAAGGAGCGTGAAATTTTGGGTTCAATTCATTCGAAGAGAAAATAGCCATGCACCCAGAAAGCCTCCCTAACGAAGCAGTAGCCCCAAATCCAAATAATGCGCAGTGTGTACTAGTGAGATGTTTTTAAACTGTTCAAAAAGTAAACTACCCATTTTGGCTCATTGAGTGGGCAGAGCTTGACAAGCAACACTACCTCTTTTGAACGTTATTCTTCTATGCAGTTACAGTTAAACCCTTTTACAAGAAACATGCACCGAGGACGATTTCTTGTCCCTTACATGAGATGTTTATTAAAAGCTGGGCAGCATGTACTCTCAAACCTTAGTATAACAAAGTTACTATTACAAAAAAATAAGTGCCTTATATCCCAAAAAGTTTGTTGTAGAAGTTATTTCGAACACTGTCATCGATTGCAAGACTTGTGATTAATTTACTTTGTTGTAATCAATTTTTTGTTATATGATTTATGGGCAAGTTTGCCACAAACAAAGTGGGTATGTTAGTACATCTAATTTAGAGCAAAAAGCACAAATAGAATTTTTCAGCAAGTTACTGAAATACGGTACGGAATTACCGTATCGCTCTTCCTTTGAAGGCACCCCAACACCAAACGACTTTTTGAAAAATTACTGTGGGGTTGCCACGCCTCATGGTGGCCTGTGGCCTATGCATCATTAACGAAACATCTGTTGTCTGGCGGATGCACTGTCCCTAGAAAGGAGGAGTGCTATTCTACTGCCTTACTGCGTGTGCATACTGTATTTCCGTAACCCTACCGTGGGACAAAAAAAGTGACCGACGCAATCGCAGAAGGTGGTGTCCTACTTCTCTAGTCCCGGCTTTGTCGAAGCTTACCGTCCAGCCGTGCACGCACACAAACACTAACGAAACGATGTGAAAGACGAGATGCTGGCAGTTTTGAGAGATGACGTACCGGTGCTGCGAGTACAGGGAACAGTCGCCACCCTCGACAGGATCCAAGTTGTAGACATACAAGTAGCCATCGGCAGTGGCCACGAGTACCCTTGGTATCTTCTGAATTCTGCGAACAAGTAGTACAAAAAAATCTTGCACTCCAAATGCGAATCACTTCAAATGCGAATCGCTCCAAATGTGAAGTGCACTCCAAGTGCGAATAAAATGCATAGCCAGTTATTAAAACTGTGCGACACCACTGATCCACAGGTCCCCCTTCAAGCTGGCTGTCCCCAGAAAAGTAGATCATCCCAACCCTCCAGCCTTTCTTGACCCCAGAGGGGGCTAAAGCTTTCGCCCGTTCTCTACCAACTTTAAATTTACAACAAACTCCTTATGTTCTCTATAATTACAGCTTTATAAAATACTTTCAATCAATTTAGGTCTGTAATGAACTAGTCCCTTCTAATCTCATAATTCTCTATGTGTCCATCTAGTAACGGACAGTCAATATTGGCCGCCGCTTATTGGCAGGACCTCAGTGAGCAACGAGTCTTGTCTCCAGTTTTCGAGATGGAACGTAGAGGAAAATAAGAGAGTGTGTCTGACGATGGCGATGAATGAAGTGTGTCAATAAATGCCTTTTTTCATTTTACTCTGGCTATATTCCGGTGAAAACATTCATTCTCACGTTTGCTATGCTCAAAGTACAACCCCTGACTATATGCAGGCTTTTACGGTGACCTATTAAAGATGTGGTCATCACTGGCTGCATTGAACTCTAGGTCATGGTAAACTGTTCTGGAGGGAAAATTGGAAAAAAAAAGGTGGGCGGCTTTGTAGTGCTTTGCGAAATCCATCAAGGAATAACCAGAATGAATTTTAGCTTCCCGCTATGTTCTGGGATTTCTTCGGGCTCTTTTTCCGGCACACATATCAACCACTCAATTAGACCTGAATTTCTCTGAAACTTAACACAGCTCCATGAAGTACAGACTTGCCAAGTTTCTTTAACTAAATATCCTGTTACTATACATTTCGTGCACTTCCATCTAACCTAGGAAGCGTGCTGGGTTAGTTACATGTAGAGAGATTACATGATATCTTATCACTTTCTCGGGTTACTGAATACATTACTCTGCAATGTAAATGTCCATTAGATGACAGCTTGAGATTAGCTTCCCTGAAATCGCCATTTCTGAGATGAGGTAAAAATATCTGGCTCTCAACCTCCACTAAACGTCCTGTGGAGTTAAATCACCAGTTCACCACAATGCGCATCCATGTTAACGAGTTCCAGTGCGCTTCACTTACGTGCTGAGGCAGCAGACTGTGCGCACCGACTGGAACGGAAGGTGGACCGTGGCGAACGACCGGCCCTGGTTGAACACGTCGGTGACCTGCGTGGGCAGGTAGGAGGCGCCCTGCACGATGGCCTTGCCCAGGTAGCCAAACCAGGTGTTGGGATCCTCCGCCACCCGGTTGGACTCCGGGTCCTCGAGCTTGAAGATATGCACTGTCTCAAAGTTGCTTGACGAGGCCAGGAACAGCGAGTCGGAGCTGAACGCCAACGAATAGATGTTCGCACACCTGCACGTGGTGGCGATCAGGACAAAAATCTCTTAAACGGAACTGCTGCTCAAATGACAACTGCTTTCAGTACGATTAGTTTCACACTCGAATTCTACAAGCTTAATTATCTCTGACGGGAACACCTGTTAAATTGAACCATTTTTGGTCCCTTCCGATTCCGTTAACGAGTCTACTGCACTTTAGAACAGCTGAGCACTGGGCAAGTTGGTAATCCATAATGACAGAAACTTGGTGAAAAAAAAAAGTGGGGACAAAGAAGGCACACACACAAACCAACATCAGAACTGCAGGGTTGAAAACATAACTGAATTATATTATCAATTATTCGGGCTCTTTTCAGTGTTTTCACCTCCATTTTTGTAACCCTGCATATTTGATCAGTGCTTGTGCCTTCCTTGTCAGTTTTTTTTTTTCACACAGTTTACTTTAATGCTTAAGATGTTTGCAAGCCCGAGGCATGAAGTAAGAACCTACACACCAAGACACCTCAAGCTATTGCTTTCCATACGAGACTGACAATTGTCATTGACTTATTTAGAGATTACAGGTAATATTATCCACACCGAGAAGTGGCACAACTAGCAGCATCACCTGAAACATTTTCAGTTGTACAACAGCGCTAAAAAAAAATTTCAGATAGTGAATTTGATGAGTCGTATTTGGTGTAATATTTGAATCCACTTGGATCAACAGGAACTCTTTTACAGTACTTTGACACTGCTCATTCTTTGTCTGTGTTCTGTCGTGCTAACCAAGAACGCAATCAAACTTGCCGAAGCTTTAATAGCAATCGTTGCATATCTTCGCCGACATTTTGATGCGTATTCCTAAACCTTCAATAACTGTGTGTTTTACGTCCCGAAACCACGATAAAATTACGCAGGGCCTAAAGCCTTTCACTTCCATCGAATGGAGGCTGCAATGGCTGGGGTTAGATAATACAACTTTTGGGTTAGCAGCTGAGAATAACTGCTAGACCATCACGACAGGTACCTTATCCTTTCTAATAAAAGTATGCTTCTAGCAAGTGTGTTCTGTGTCAAACTGGTGCCCTGCAAAACATTTTGCCGCAGCAGTCGATAATTACCATGCTGTTAAACGAGATTAATCTCGCAGATTTTAGCTTGGTCAAAGAATTAACGTACTACATTTACACAACTTTCTTTTTATGATGACCGAAACTATTGTACTGAAGATGCTGCACAGAACTAACATTAATCAGAGCACCAAATAAATACAATATTTTTTGGTGGAAGCAAAAAGCGACAACAAAGAAATGTTTACAGTATTGTTAACTTTCAACAGTAAATGCGAGATTTTTCGAGCTCCCTTGAGGACTCCGACACTGTCCGCATAAATGAGTTCATGTTGTACTTTGCTCGAGTAGTTTGCCACAGCCATGCTCAACATAGATGCAATTGCTTGTCAGTGCACTTGGGCATTTCAGATCCCATGCAGGCACTCGGTACTGAATACGTTCAGACCAACTAAAAGCTCCCCTACGTAAAAAAGCAAAAAAAAAATCATGTTGGGTCTAAGGCACCCACAGAGGACAATGTATTTTATTTTTACCGATAAGAAGCTATGTAGGACTCGGTAGACGGTTTTAAAATCTATGATGTCACAGTGTTTAGTGTGGGAATCGCAAGGCAGCCTCTTCACCCGCATTTCTGTTTCGCGGGTTTTCTCGCTTACCAAGTGTCGTGTCGCGGTAAGAGTGGTGTCTTCGGGATTGTGAAATTGTACCTTCCTAATACGTGAGAAATCCTTTCGCTCTTTAGTTCCCTTTTAACGAATCGAGGAGCTTAAGGCTAGGCTTTTTGCAAGAGCTCTTTTCCCCCCAACGCGACTTTCTGTCTTCCGAGAAGTCGCAATCCACTACTCACCGCTTCATGCCCCTCCGGAACTCGTACAACTTCTGTCCGTCCGCAACACCGAAAACTCGTATGACCGTGCCCTGAAAAAGTTAGGTTTGAGTTGGCTTAGTTCACATAGTTTTCATTACGCACGGCACTCAAAAGCGGGAAGCACACAAACCTTTTCCGAAGCCGTAGCGATAAGCGTCCCCACGGAGTTGAAAGCTAGGGCTGCCAGTTTGCTGTCATGCGCCGGGATCATCACCTTGGCTTGCTGAAATGAAAAGCACGCGTTGATTTTATCGAAGGACGTAACATATTTGCCTGTCAATTACTTGCATCTCCATACAGGCACCCCATTTATGTTTTGATCTAGAGTGCCATACAGGAGCACGAAACGTGCTAAATAAAAGTGCAAATATTTGAACAATACACAGCTGTGTCCCCATTTAAAATTTAAAAGGAGATTTTAATTGAATCATGCCCAGTTATTTTGTGACAACAAAGAAAGACTGCAACAAAAAGCTCTCTTTAAAACAGCTTGAGCGAGTGACGGATGCTTGCACTCACCAGGTTGAGGGCATCAAAGATCTGGACCTCGCCAATCTTGTCAGATCCTGGGTACGCCAGGTAGCAGTTGTCACTGGAGGGCGACAGGGCGCACAGGCCGTCCGGATTGGGCGGAGTCTCGCGAATTGTGTGCAGCACCTGAAACCATGGCCAGGCCTGATTTCCCGGAAGGAAATTCACGCAATGCTACACGATGAATGAAACGGCACCCTTTTCAACCAAACAGAAAACTGCGCATTTTAAACGACGCAGGAGTTAGTGGTCGCTGGACAGGCAACGTCTTGTGCGGAATGGATCACCTCCTAGACGGCACGGAGAGGAGACAGGTAGCAGCTTCAAGTCAGCCAATAGTTTTGCTGGGGCTCCAGGAGCAAGGCAGTTCGTTGGACATTGTCTACGCACTGCCGAGTTGTGCACACCACGGAGTTTGCTACAATATTTAACCAGAGAAAACTGTAGCGCTGCAATTGTTCAGCCAATATGAGAATGATAGGTAGCACATGAATTTGCATAGTCTTTGTGCTGCAGCTTCGAATACACTGGTGGCTTTTTGTGGTGCCGTGTTTTGGCTTTTGTTCGTTGAAAAAAACAAATGAAACAGCTCGTTGATTTCTTAGGCAGACTTCAAACGGTGACCAGAAAAAGATAATTGTGGAAAAGAAAGCGAGACTGATGAACTTTCGTCGAATTTCCTCTTGCAACAGAGCGACTGCAGTCACGCAGACGCAGGAGAATGAAGCATCACGCATCGCAACTACCATAGACATAAACGTCCCATTTCCATCTTGTGTGTATTTATGAAGATCTACAATGCGATCGGAGGCATGCTATCGATAGCTGTAGAGACCCTCGAGAAGAGACGACCTTCGGCACGTTCTATGTTACACCATCTTTAAACTTCATCACTGTCAAGTTTTCATAACGTAGCACTAATTGAGCTCGTACATTACGATAGCACAGGAATGCATGCACAGTTGCAAACTGGTGGCAGTACATAAGAGTCAAGAGAAGTGGTACTGATGTGCAGTAACGTCTGAAGCTTTCAAAAAAGAAAAACAAAGGTGGGAAAGGAAAGACGGAAGAGTGTGATGAGAAATTCATAAATAGGGTGTGTGTGCAGGAGAAGTGGTTTTGACAAGTGGAGTCATCTTTCACAAAAAAGTAAACCCTCACTCTGCTGCCCAGAGCACCTAGTTCTTGACAAGATGCAAAGCATGTGAGCATCTTCAGTTAAAAGCACCATAAGTGATTGCGTCCATCATTTTTCCTGCACTGGTTCGAACGTTATCTACATGGCTGAGTGTTCATATAGTCACAAACAGTGCACTTGCGAAATGAGACAACCTGTTAATGGTAGATTAAATGGGCGTCACGGGGGCACTGCAAAAAAATTGCTGAAAGCAGTGGCACAGCATTTTAACAGACAACCGCATTACAACAGACCTCCATAGGGAAGACAATTTTGGTCTGTTGTAAAAGGAATATGTAAAATCAATAGGATGTAAAATAAAAGTGACAGACACTCAATTGGTCTGTTATAACCAGAGGGAATTACTAGTCAGGAACGGGTTTACTCTCAACAGGGGCATAAAAAAAAATGAAGTTTTGAAGATCACACTTAGTTTCACACTTTCCGTTAATACAAACGGAAATGGACAAAGAAAGACATAGAAGAGTAGAGATCAAGAGAGAAAGAGAAACAAAAAAAGAGATGCAAGAGAAGAACAAGCAAGAAATAGAGAGATATGAAAAGTAAAGAAGTAGAAACAGAGCACGCATTCCTAGCCAAGCCAGAACCAGTTCAGTTCTGACCAGCTCCGCTGCGCCTAAGCCTTGTGAGACTCACCGAAAGCTGCACAACTTTCTCGCTACAAACACAATCCAGCCAAGAGACTCGCGGCACATACCTTCATGTCCCGAATGTTGTGTATGTAGAGGCTCTCCTCGAGGCACACAACAAGGCGCGCCCGGTTGAGTCGCACGGCCAGGATGCTATTGCTGTAGGAGTAATTGCAGATCTCAGACTCCTTCTTGAAGTGGCACATCTTGAGCTTCCGCAGGGACGCCGTGCTGACGAGGGACACCAGGCTGGACAGGAAGAGGCGCTCGACCAGGGCCATGCCTTCCTCTTCTGCAAAGAGGACAGCGACACTCCGTACTAGCATTTCACACACAGGGTACACCGTTCTGGAGGCTAGCGAGACATTTTGCAGCCGATGGCTCTATGCGTTCCAACAAACCCGGGCATAACGAAATATTGGTTATAACAAATTATATGACGAATCGTCTTGCAATAGTTATACATTACTACTCAAAATATATTTTTCCTTTCCTTTCTAGGCTCTGTGTTAAATGAGCATGTTTTGCAACTTAAAAGAAAATAAACCCCCTTGTACAGTTCTTGCTACACGGCTGGATCGGTTTACATGTTTATGCTTTTATTCTTCGATGTTGTAGGACGTCGAGACACGTCATGCAGAGATGCATGCTCCACCCGCACTGGCGTTTACGACGACAAGAGCTGACTGCGAGAGGCACGGAGTGATACAATTTGCTGACCGAGCTACTTGCATAGCTTCCCCAGCGTTGCACCTGATAAGTGAAACTGAGTATACTCCCATTACTGTGGTACACTAGCCTTTCATCCGTGCAAGGTGGAGGTAGTGCTAAGTGATTTCTGTTGTAATCATAAGCACTTTTCCCCAGTTAATATACCTCCAATGCTCACTAAACTAAATGTTCGATCTCCCTGTACAAACTATTTGGTTTGCCGCAGCAGTGACGCTAGCACCTTATGTGCGATGTCAATAAGTTTCAGCAACACGAACATATGTCTGTAAGGGGAAATATACCGAAATATGTGAAAGAGACTTGACGTCACATAAACGAACAAATCCAACTGGATGGGGCACTTGGGCAGATCCTCTCTCAGTGGGACAGCAACGACTGAGGGGCAGCGCTTATTCATTTGTTAGGTTGTAACTGGCTGCAGTATTTACATCAATGTATAGACTCATCTATTACACCTTAGCACGATTGTTTGTTGGCAGAGTTTGCATGATATCCTAAGAATGCTATGGATGAGGACACATGAGGCGTATGCGATCACACAAGCATTCATGCTGTACTTTTTGCTAACACGAGGACTTTTGCCATGTTTGCCTTTTGTGTCCTTTTCGATGCTCTTTCAATGCCATCTTTAAGGCCTTTAGGCATTGCAAATGATGAAAGTGGGTCACCAAACAACACGAATAAATCACTGATTGTTTATTGTTGCAACTTAGCGACATAACTAACCTGAATTCGGCAATCCAGGTGAAGCGTGCAGAAGATAGAAGTATTGAATTGGACGCCGCACCCATTCTATTGTCTGTTTCACAAAACTTGGGTCTGTACACTGTTTTCGACACTTGAATCGCTACACCTCTAAGTGAAAGAAGTCCACAGCTTCCTCTTTAAAGAATAGCCGCCCTGGAGCCTTCCGGCAATATGAGTCTGCTGTACCAGCCTTGGTAAACTAAGCTCTCTACAAGGCTGCACAATACTTTAAGTTTTATTAAATGCCATCTTCTCTGCTTGCTGTAGTTAGTAAGGTCAGAGGTACTATCTCAACACATTCTAGCTTAATTTAAAGATAAAAGGACTCAATTTCTTGTCCACACAATCGGAACAAAAAAAAAGTAAATGAACACAACCAAACACTCACCATTTTCATATATCTGTTCAAGCTTGTCCACATTTCCTAGGGAGAAAAACTTGTAACCCGTGTGTGTTCCAACCGAGAGCGCCCTTGAGAGAAAAGAAAAATGTTGGATTAGGTTCCAGATTACACATAGGCAAAACGTAATTTTTTTAACTCTTTCATGCACAGCACTCTCTTTTTGGTAGGAAACAGTTTAATGGGAAAAAAAATGGCGAAATATTTTGAAGAAGATAACTTTTTCGTAAGTTTTCTCAGTTTAAAAAATATGGGGTGGTCACTTTCTGTGCAAGTACAACACTTCATTTTTATAGTCCTTAATAATAGCTACTCTTGCAACATGCTTTCCCGGTATCAACATAGTAGGAGCAGCACATACTCATATATCTAAGAGTACATCTCAAGTCCACTGTCAAGCGCGCCTTGAGGACAACGGCAGCCAGAGTAAAGCAAACGTAACATGTCACATTGAAGCCCAAACGAAGTAGCACCATCTCTGCCGGATTGCCGAAAGCTTTAAAGTATGCGTCATCCAAAATCAGACACACAGGGTTCACATGTTTCAAAAGGATAAAATTAAGAACAGGTGGTTACCTGGGGTGACCACCAAGCTGGAAAGAGTTAAACAAAGAGCACAATATTGCCACACACAATATTGTCGTACTTCCGAGAGCACAACCTTAGAGAAAACTTGGAATGCTGGATACGACTTCTTGCTTACATAGCGCTAGTGTTCAACAGAATGTTGGGCATACTAGAGCGAGCATGCCTGAACAAGTAGGTATGAAGAGATTAATTTCGTTAGAGGCAGTTTTTACCCACTATCTAATCTCTCAAAGTTATCGCACTGTGTGTAAAAAAGACAAGACTATCCCTACACTGCAGTACTATCACTCGTGTATGTTGGAGAAGGTACACAGGCTGCAACATTGATTAGACAAGGAATCTGTGGGCGAATCAACAACAACATTCCCAGACTATATAGATATGTGCAAGTAACAACGTTCCCAGACTATTTAGATATGTGCAAGTGTGCATATCACAGCACGCTGAAAGATTGTGCAGCGATGGTTGGTTAGTTATATCCTAATAAAGAACTGTTTGCTGTGCAGCTTTGGCATTAACTGCTTCAACGTTGTGACAGAACCCCAAGCACTTTGCCTCCTGGGATCATTCCATGCATCTTTTTCATCAAGGTCATACTTTCTGGTGAACAAGGTTAAGAAAGATTGATTGATTGATATGTGGGGTTTAACGTCCCAAAACCACCATATGATTATGAGAGACGCTGCAGTGGAGGGCTTTGAATATTTCGACCACCTGGGGTTCTTTAAAGGGCCACTCACCAGGCTCCATACTAAATTTAGACCGTGGAAGTTATTGGGTGTTCGAGGAATGTTTTGCCACAAACATTTTTTGAATCGGTTCATTACGAGCTGAGAAAACTGTTTTTTGGAAGCGGTGCGAAACGAGGATGAGAGGAGGCGAGCTTGGAACCCTTGCCGCTCCTCCGCATAACCTTCGCAAGCAGATTCCCTTTCCTACCCTCTCCGGCATCCAACCAAGAGGTCACGTGCGCATGACGTGACCGAACAAGCCCAACCCCCGTGCACACGAGCGGCATTTTTTTTTTTTTTTTCAAGACGATAGTCTTTTTAGGGGGCCTTCGCCGAATAAATTTTGGTGTCTGTCTGTACATTTGTCTGTCCGCCCTAACGATACCTCAAACGGCACCAAACGGCCAACCCTACTCGCAGCGCCCACTAATATTTGCTAAAAGTTTAGCGTTCATAGTTCCGAGATTGTCAATCAAAAAGCAATTATTGTGGATATCTGAGGCGCCATAACAACACTTCGAAGTTTTGTATGTCTGCGTTCATACTAGAAGAGGCACACACAAGTAACTATAAGGAATGTAGCGTTTATCACGCTGCACTGACAGTACAACGCGATGCTCAAAAATGTGTTTCCAACGCTTTGCTACGACGTCAGGGTGGTGGCACCTGCTCGTTGCTTTGCGTTCTACACGTTATCACCTCCGAGACTCGCGTGCACCTTTCTCAGCGGGCTGCACGCCTTCGTTTTCTAAGATAATTGCCAGATGGCGCTTGTGCCTAACGTGCCTCAATGCTTTCGTTCGCTTCCGCTACACGCTCGAGCCACTCTAACGCAGCGCCTCCAGAATACCATTCATCAATTTTCTTGCGCAGAACATCAAATATATGTTTTGTTCACTCTCTTCAGACGCAAGACTATCGTCTTTCGACTACATTTGCGGTGTAACATGCAGATTTGGAACCAATTTTTTTTAACCATGCAGCGTTATTTCGTGTCGTGGCCTACTGCTTGTTTCTGCGGTGTAATTCAGAAACGCTGGCTTGGATGCGGTAAAATAGATGAGCACAATGAGTGCGCATACGCGTAGGAGCGTTCCACGGCTGTAGTCTGCTCAATGCGCTGAACGCGGGGACACGAACTCTGGCCATTTAGCCCCTCATCTCGTTGCGATTCACGGGGGCAAATATAAGAAAGAATGCTCACATTCCCTTATTGTGTCTCATTAATTATCTAGAGATTTATTAATCTCTTCGAGCCACAAATACATAAACTACGCATGTTGCGTTAAATAATTTTCACTGTGTCACGTGCCACTGTTGACAACGTCAGAGCATAGTAGTCTAAGTAGATGACCAACGTCACTGCATTGCCGTGTACGTAGGGCCAGTCATACGCACACATCATGCCCTCATCCACTGTGCGCGCGCCCGTAAAAGGAAGAGAGAGCAGCGTTCATCTTGAAATTTGACCCATTTCCGTGGCGCGTAGCATTGCATATTTTGGCATATGTGATCATGAACGCCTCATCTATGCACTGCGCTTGTAAGCTGAAAATTGTCAAACCTGGTGAGTGGCTCTTTATCATCATCATCATCATCAGCCTGACTACGTCCACTGCAGGACAAAGGCCTCTCCCATGTTCCGCCAGTTAACCCGGTCCTGTGCTTGCTGCTGCCAATTTATACCCGCAAACTTCCTAATCTCATCTGCCCACCTAATCTTCTGTCTCCCCCTAACCCGCTTCCCTTCTCTGGGAATCCAGTCAGTTACCCTTAATGACCGGCGGTTATCCTGTCTACGCACTACATGCCCTGCCCATGTTCATTTCTTCTTCTTGATTTCAGCTATGATATCCTTAACCCCCGTTTGTTCCCTAATCCATTCTGCTCTCTTCTTGTCTCTTAAGGTTACACCTACCATTTTTCTTTCCATTGCTCGCTGCGTCGTCCTCAATTTAAGCTGAACCCTCTTTGTAAGTCTCCAGGTTTCTGCTCCGTAGCTAAGTACCGGCAAGATACAGCTGTTATATACCTTCCTCTTGAGGGATAGTGGCAATTTACCTGTCATAATTTGAGAGTGTTTGCCGAATGTGCTCCACCCCATTCTTACTCTTCTAGTTACTTCAATCTCGTGGTTCGGCTCTGCGGTTATTACCTGCCCTAAGTAGACATAGTCTTTTACAACTTCAAGTGCACTATTACCTATCTCGAATATCTCGAAGCGCTGCTCCTTGCCGAGGTTGTTGTACATTACTTTCGTTTTCTGCAGATTAATTTAAGACCCACCTTTCTGCTCTCCTTGTTTAACTCCGTAATCATGAGTTGCAATTCGTCCCCCGAGTTACTCAGCAATGCAATGTCATCGGCGAAGCGCAGGTTACTAAGGTATTCTCCATTGACTCTTATCCCTAACTGTTCCCATTCTAGGCTTCTGAAAACCTCCTGTAAGCACGCGGTAAATAGCATTGGGGAAATTGTGTCCCCCTGCCTTACACCCTTCTTGATTGGTATTCTGTTGCTTTCTTTATGAAGCACTATGGTAGCAGTTGATCCCCTGTAGATTTTCTTCCAGAATGTTTATGGCCCTTTAACGTGCACCCAAATCTGAGCACACTGGCCTACAACATTTCCGCCTTCAATGGAAATGCAGCCGCCGCAGCCGAGATTCGATCCCGACACCTGCGGCTCAGCAGCCGAGTACCTTAGCCACTAGACCACCACGGCGGGGCCAAGGTTAAGAAAGGGAAAATAGACATTGTTCATTTGTATTCATTGGTCAAGGTGAACAAGGTGTTTCGCAAGGGTGTACCACATACACATCATATTCTACAGACCTTTTCAAAGGAGAGAAGGAGCACCTCTTTTTTATGTCACATAGGTGTACGAAGGCTGACACGACTACCCAAGCAGTTAACTTTTAGGGGTCACTCATTTACCACAGCCCGGAGGTCCGTATGGTAGAGTCGAAGGAGCACTCTTTGGAAAGGGTGTACAGATGTGCACAGTTTGAACATTTAAACAGGGAGAGTTACTTTCATCAATCCAACTTGTGTTACTTTTAAGATAAGAGTGTCTGTAAACCAAACCAAAGTGAAAAGCAGATGCCATCGCCGCGCTGACACTTCCACTAGTTTGGTTCAGTGTAGAGTGAGGCAGTAACAGTGCAAACACAACCCCCACAAGAGAGACGACATGGACACACAGCGCTTGTGTGTCCTGTCATCACTCTTGTGGAACCATTTATGCCTTCAGAATTCAGACAAAGAATTGAAACGATTCAGTCCGCTAGCATGAAAGGAAGCGAAGGCGAGTTGGAAAAAGAGTTGGAAAGACTATACTAGCTGGCAGCATCTTAACACCACTGACCCTGTCCGAGTGGCAAGCTGATAGGGCAGTTTGATACTAGATGAAACAACAAACATCTGCCAGGACTGCGTGGAATACCCAGCACAGTCAATGCTGGCAGAGCAGCCCTTCTAGAGCCTCTTTTATACTTTTATTGGGTAACTGCTACAAGTATTTTTGGAGCTTACCCATGGTGCCATAAATTGTAATTTTCGTGTAGTAGAGAGGCATCCGCTATGTCATTGTTTGGAGAAGTGTGGTAGCCGCTACACACTTGCAAGGAATTTTGTGCAATCTTTTTGATGCTGTGGCTGAGGACCAAAAATTGTGGCTGAAGCTTTTGTTATAGATTGGAGCATTCGACGACCCACTCGATACCCAATTGTCGTTGTGTGATGCCCGATTTTTTTTTTTCTGTTTTAAAATGCTCTATTACTCACCAACATGATTCCTTTCCAGACATGAAGCCTGCCTATTGTGCTTGAAACTCCATTGCAAAGTGACAAGTGCAGCTCTGTGGTAGAATAATGAACCGGCATGCAGGAGGCCCAGGTTCAAGGCCTAATTCGTGCTCCGCGTTTTTTTTTTTTAATGCGAAGCAGCGACTAGCCTTTGTAACGCTGTCCCTCCGTACGAGTGACGTTACGCTCCCCTCGCCGTGCGCGCTGACGTCATTCTCACTCGCCTGACACACGCGTTTTCCAAATTCAAGGGTTTTCAGGGACCTGTACGCACCCTGGCACAGTCATCCGAGCTGCAGCTTGTTTATAGACTATATGGTAACTGCTTGCATGATTTTAATAGTATTAATTTCACAAAGGCCACCAAGTCCAGCAATGTATATGGCCCGTGTTTTTTACTATCAACAAACAGTATTCCAGCTGACCTTTTCTCTCCGAAATTGGGACACGTGGCACTGAATGTTTGTAAATACCGTTAAACCATTCTGTAATGTCGTGGATCGGGCTATCGTCCGGTTAACGCAACTGACCACATTCGCGCGAGGGCGCGACGCATGCCAGTGGGTGGCATGATTGTGTAAGATGGTGCACGACGTGTGCAATGGTGTTTGCGGTAAGCCTCACTTCAAGGCGAATGGTCAGTGAACGCCGACAATGACAAAATAAAAAAAAAATGGCGACGTCCAAGTGCGAACGGCCGCCCGTTGACAGTCAGACCCCTCGGTGCCCAGCGCCTTTCTTTTCCGAGTCAAGGACTTTTCAAACAGGCGCGCACAGTTTTTCATTCGGTCGTGGTCGCGTCGCATTGCCAGGGGAAAAAAAAATAACTAGTCCCGGGAAGAGAGGCAGGCCTCTCGCAAAACTCTCCGGCAACGAAGGACAAAACAGGCAAATCGAAACCGAACGGGAACCAGCTTGGAACGTCGCGGTTTTTTCTGGCGAAACTGCAGCCCGCGTAGAAGTCGCGCGATCGTACTGAGCAGCGCAGGTTTGACGTTTCTCGTTTTTTTTTTCTTTTGTCGTTTTGCTCTTACACGGTATGCAAGTGCGCGCACGCACCAACAAAACCACACGCCGCACAAGAAAGTCAGCAACAGCAGAACAAGGGAGAAAGGAGCGTTCCGCTGGGTACGGGGGAGGGCGCGATAACAGCTGACCGTCGCTGACGCATCGGAACGGGAAACGAGACTCGTGACGACGCGTCCGTGCAAACTACGGCGGAAAACAAACAAACAAAGGAAAAAGATGTGATAACGTCACATAGTCGTCTACCCGTCTCTTACATCAGCCCCGCGAATCGCCCGCAGGGGCGCTGACATATGACAGATTAATAACGCGATACAGTAAGCGCGGGCTCGTTTCAAGGCTAAGGGCTTCCGACGCGAGAAGGGTGTGTTGTTGCTGCTTTTTCTTTCAGGCTGGTTGCGAACCGCTCCGCAGGGACCTTGGGGCGCAGGTGCAGAGAAAAGACGATCGGTGACTTGGGAGCGAGAGAACCAAGCGTCTCAAAACCTCTGGCGCTGTCCTAGTTACCTTGGCCACTGCCCGGGGCTGGGATTGCCCTTCACACGGGCGATCCAGCTGGGTTTGTGGCATTCGGACGGCGGAAGGAAAGGAGCACGGGCGACAAGCCAAAGCGGGCTGGGCGATTCACAACAATAAACGTAGCCGAGCGAGAGTGGTTGCTCGATGCGCGACTATGGAAAATGCGCGCTGCAAAACGCTTGCACGGCCCTCAGTCAACAAGCAAAGCGGAGGGGGAGGGTGGCTTGCTTAGCTGATAGCGGAGTTAATCGATGCCCCAGCAGTGTTTACTTCGCACTCATCCGAGCCTCGGACAAGCGGTCATGTAAAGTGGGGGGTCGCTCAACCGCAAGAAAACAGCAAAGCACAGTGCGATGAGGATACATGTTTCGGTAGCGAACGCAAGGGAAAGCGCAGCTCTCATTTTCGGAGGGGAGTCCAAATACGGAGAGCGCTCTCCGAGATATGCGCGGTCTTGCCAAATCCTTCACGCAAGAGCGGGCCGAAGCCAACAGTGACGGGGGATCCCCATCGTCGAAATGTAGACACACTTCACTCATCCCCAGCGGTTGCACAATTCGCGGAAGGGTCAGGCGGAACGAGACGCCCGAAATGAGAGAAAAAACTTACGTGCCGTCTTGGTTGAAATTCACGTAGTTAATGTATGGGGTGTGTTCACCCCCTTCCGCGGCTAGATTCATGAGTCCGCCGACGCCTTGCTTTACTCCCTCGCTGATATTGTTGAGGTTCGTCGCTAGACTTTGCATGGACGCGCAAACATCGTCACCCACACCACAACACAAAGATGCGCGCTGTGAAAGCAGGCCCCCGAACACAGCAGCGATGTAGCTCGCGTCAGCTGAGTGTTGTGTATGGCTGATGGCTAATGGCTACGACACAAAACGCCAGTCCGACACGCAGCCGTTCATTGGCTCGCGCAGCGTTGATGTCACGTTCATCGCATCGGACGTCACTACCACGACAGTGGCGGCCCCGCGAAGTGGGGAAAGAAATACGCTTCCGGCCTTCGAGATTTCAACGGCTTGTCGGCGCAATCTCTGAGGCTACGCTAAGTGCAGTTTTTACGTTTTCGCGCTAATGGCAACAACATGGCATCAATATCCGCTATTTTATATGAAAAAAAAAAAAGAACCAGCAGGTTCTGCATACTGTGGGAATGTGTAACACGAAGCCCTCAGCGAAGAGCTGGATACATCACGTTATTGTTTGGTGTTGAGATTAATCGAGAGTGTACTGAGACGGACAAATTATTATTTTTAGACAAATCAAGAGATTGATGTCATAGCATGACGTTCACTATCACCCATGGTTCTGATGCACCATGCTAATTAAACGTGCATTCCCTGTCGTTTGTATTCGTACTTCATTCATGTAATATCATGCCAATTTCGCATCAAGTTTAGCGAATTTGTTAGGCGAGAATACCATGGAGTTGGTAAAGAAGCTGGATAGACCAGACCTCTAACTACTGTGTGAAGAGCTGGGAATTAAGGTGGGGAGAGATGAGAGAGAGTCGCAGCTGATTGGAGTAATTGTGGAGTGTGGTGTGGAGGATGACGAAATTGAGGAATGTTGGGAAGAATTTGAAAAACAGAAAAAAAAGACGAGGAAAGAAAGCGAAGATGGGCTGAGGAAGACAGGAAAAATGAGCAAAGACGATTGGCTTTAGGCATTCATCAGGCCTCAAGTAATCCAGTAAACGGTTTAGTCGCCTTTGGTATGAAAGTGAAAGACAGTGCTGCCAAGTCCATAGCTACAGCGGGCCGCTCAGCAGGTGAGAAACATAAGTTGTGTAAGCAGGGGCGGCGCCAGGGGGGGGGGGGGGCAAGGGTGGGCTGGAGCCTCCCCAAAATTCTCGCCTGCCCCCCCCCCCCCCCCCCTATGCCCACCCAAGTGCCCGGAAGCATATATTGAAAACCTAGTAGGAGCAGAGCTAGCTTGCTCCCCCGGAGGAACTCACTTTTCGTGGTTGCCCCCCCAGTAAAAACATCCTGGCGCCGCCCCTGTGTGTAAGGCTAAGCCGGTCGTATGTCACCGTTGCAATGAGCCAGGTCACATAGCGATCGGCTCCCGTAAGCCTAAGAGTACGCTCTTTTTGGTGGACGGCAGCAACAGTACTCAAAAGAAATTGAATCCCCACGTTCAAGAGTCCGTTGTGGATAAAACGCTGTATGATGTACCACCGGGCACAGCCACAGCACTCAATGATGTTGATCCCTACTCCGTGAAAAATGAGGAGACCACAGGAAAACGCGCGTGCACACGGCAATTAGTTGAAAATAAAACTGTGTGTTTGCCGTTAGCCCGCGTTGAGAGTGAGGGACCGTTCAGACTGCTCGCAACAGAAACTGTGGTGTCCCAAAACCTGCCCGGCCATTATCCCTCTCAGAATGACATGGATGTGCTTTTGAAAGGCCTTTGTTTTGGTGACAAATTGACGACAGCTCTGTTGCGTCCGATGGCGTGTGAGTCTACTCATGAGCCCCGCCACGGTGGTCTAGTGGCTAAGGTACTCGGCTGCTGACCCGCAGGTCGCGGGATCGAATCCCGGCTGTGGCGGCTGCATTTCCGATGGAGGCGGAAATGTTGTAGGCCCGTGTGCTCAGATTTGGGCGCACATTAAAGAACCCCAGGTGGTCGAAATTTCCGGAGCCCTCCAATACGGCGTCTCTCATAATCATATCGTGGTTTTGGGACGTTAAACACCACATATCAATCAATCAGTCTACTCATGAGATTTCGGAAGCAGAAAGCGCTAATAAAGCAGACTGTAAAAGTCCAGGTGATGAAGCGCTTAGCTTATCGCGAGAGGGAGAGGCGTTTAACATAGCGTGAGGTGATGACTCTCATCAAGAAGAGACATCTGATGGCGAGCCAGCTGGTTTAGCAAGTGTTGAATGTAGCGTTATTTTGACAGTGAAGACAGCTAGAAATAACGCCGAGGATAAGTCAGTTGAGCCACCGGGAGTTTTGAGCAGGCACTGCGCCGTGCTCCCGACCGGGTTGCAGAAATTAGGTGCCTTTTTTCATCTTCTAACCACCACCACCACCACCAGTATTGAGCAATGTACTTCCGAGTATTATTGCCGAGTCGGTGAGCGTTCCGTGCCGCTCCGAAAGAAGGCAGCGGCGAAAACATAGAGGGAACGCGAAGGGTCGAAGTTGCCTCGAGCAGAGGCCAGAAATCCCGCGAAAGCGGGCTGCAAATCGAAAGTTGACGGCCCCCACTGAAATCGAGATTGAGCGTGAAGCATGTCACAAAAGCGAAGAAACTCAGACTTCAAAGTGGCCGCCTGGTCTCATCGCCTTCAGCGCAGAATACACGGCCAAGCAGAACAACGAGGCGCGTTCTCGGGATTGACAAAAGCCATTCCCCTCCACGGCGAAAGGGTAACCGCTTGACCAGGAGGCATACAAGGAACATACGAGACCATCGGTATGCCCCTGTATCGGAGTTTGGGGCCCGCGGAACAAAAGTTGCTGCCACTCAGTGCTTCGGTAGTTTCAGACCGGTTGGCTATATGTCCCTCCGTCGCGATCTGGCCTATGGACAGCTGTTGTATGCGCGTCCGCCCAGAGCCCGCCTCAAAGGGTTCCCTATAATGCTTCGGACAGTGTAAGGATGCCAAGGATTTCTCTTGCATCCAGTTTTGAATTGTTTTACTTTTAAAGTTTGCATGTCTGCGGATGAGCAAGGAGTATGTCGATTTTCGAAAATTTTATTTTCCTCCTCATCTTAACAGCAGACATTTCGAGATTTATTGGTTTGCTTACATTTAGCAAATACTTGCGCTTGAGAAGAGGGCTTTCGCGCTGAGTTAACAGAGAAGTAGGCTGAAGGTATACAAGCCTCTGTTTAAACCTTCTGTTTTTGCATTGTAGCGTTGTTGTTTTCTCTTTTTGTTTTATATTATACGCGCAAGTTTGGTTTTAAGATTTACTTATGCCATGTGAAGCGGTTTTGATTACTACTTCCTTTCATTTTTATGTCGCCCGTAGCATCTGCGTGCCTGAAACGCTGCGAATCTCTGTGGGAAATGATACAAAACGTTAGGCTGTTGATTTGCTTCGCACGTAGTAAGTCTGAGTTTGTTATGGCTCAGTTATCTAAGTCTTGATTTTCGCGAGTGAGCACACCAATTGGGAATTCTTAGGGAGTTTTACCAAAACTGTAACCTGGCATTTCTCGATGTCAATTGAGTGATCTCTGTTTGTTGTGCCTCGGGTCTTGCGTGGTTTGTTTCTGGCGTTTGCTAGCCACGGCTCCGGTCCAGAGATTGGCACAGCCTGCGTCAACGTCTACAAGGGAGCAGATCTACAGTCTCTGCGGAGTGCTTTGGTGCTGCAACGCTTTCGAGACCTCCTGTGGTGGTGGACGGGCTGTTAAGATCGGCCTGCCTGGCTTGACGATGCTTTGACGCATGAGACATTTTGGCCGAGCCTACTCCGATTTCTTCCAAGTCAGCGCTCCCAGAGATGCACCAAGAAGGGCGACAACAAAGAAATCGTTCTTCTAGTTATCCCAGGTCGTCGGTGCCCCTCGTAAAACCCTTTGGACACGCCTGACCGACTGACGGATTAGGAAGAGTTGTTGGCCTTCGAGACGGCTTGCTTTGTCGTCAATGTACTCCGGGCAAAGGGCCCAGCGTCTGACAACGGTCTGTGGATGCATTTCCCACGTTCTCCCTGGTGCCTTGATGCGGCTGTTTCCACAATTTCTGGTCTGCCTGGCGCCGCATAACCATCACTGCAACAGACTGCGAAATTGACTTCCGCGTAAGACTCAACGTCTTCGTGCTGTGCTGTGTCGTGCGCTGTGTGCAATGTTTCCTCCCTCGCCATGGGCTGAACTGCGCGTGCCTCTTCCCCCTTTCGTTGGTTAAGAAGGAGGCGGCGTTTCACCTTCCCCTTTCGGGGGCGAAGGTGAATATGACAATTTTAATTGGACTGTTCTGGCCTCCATTGTTTTCCTGCAGGGAATCCTGGGAAGGACAGGGCATAAAATGCGAGCGCCGAGGCGCTCCTGACAAGCTGTTACAACCTTCCAGAAGCTCCCATCATGCTTTCATCGAGAGCTTCCATGATGCTACCACCATCATGTAACGCGCTACCTGTAAATATTGTAATTAAAAGTTACTGTTATCAGCTCCCGGCTCCTCTCCTCGACATCTCCCCGAGACTCTGGCTGGCTGCGATTCTCTGGGCAGAACCCCGAACACACCATATCATGCCGATTTTGCCTTAAGTTTAGCGAATTTGTTAGGCAAGTTGGTGCATCTTAACACAAAAAGGAATAGCTTGCGCTTGTGTGTGCAAGGGGGGGGAGGGTGCCTAAAAGGAAACCCCCCCCCCTCCCAATTTCCGGAATTCGGATGTAGTGGTGTTTTGCTGAGAACAAATAATGCAGATAGGTGCTTTTCAATACATTTCAATACATAAATCAACTTCAGCGCATGGCAAATAACCACAATTGACGTTAGCCCGACGTGACGGCTGTATCAAAGGAGTACATATCTAATGTAATTGGGCAGGCAGCACTGCAACTACTATTGACGTTTCACGCAGATAAGCGTCTCTTTGAAAAGCAGTTGCAAAACGTGACGTTGCTCTGTGGTACAATGCTTCATTGCCACGCAGAACGCTTGGGTTCGATTCCAGCTGGGACCCTGACATTTATTATTTGCATTCATTGGGACAGCGCTGCCGATGTCAGCTTTTTCTTACCGCTCACGCGTTCAAATTACCCATGCATGTGTGTTCTCGTCGTTCCCAGGGAGATAGTAGGTGTCAATCACCTGTGGCACATACAGTGGCACATGCCCGCCCGCTGGTATGTTCTACTGTTTGGCGGGAAGTGTTTGACGACGTACGCGA